TGCTTCCGACCCCTTTAAGCATGTCCTTGGATGTGGTGAGTTGTATGTTTTAAATTGGATGGCTATTGACCAGACCATTCAAAATATTTTTCAGCGCCACTGATGTTAAGTAATAGTTTAACCCATAGTAATACATAGTAATTAATTATAAACTTATAGATAAAATATGAAACAAAATTAATTTATGAATGAAATAAAAGAAATGAAGAAAGAAATATATCACTTTTTAAAATATAATTTATAAGTAATTAGATAAGGTAGTAACAGCTGAAAAATATATTTTTGTATTTTATGAATTAATTTAATTTATTTTTTGAAGCTGCGAAATTATTGATATTTTAGTAGGTGCGTGTTTAACACTTTATGCTTTGAATCACACGTTTAATATAATAAATGGTGGTAGGCTTATAAAAGATTCTAAATACATCCACAAGTGAAAAAAAAAAAAAAAATGACCAAAATAATTCTAACATAAACACTTGCCATTTTAGTTTACTACAAGTACTAATATATTCATGGGCGCCCCTACAATACTTTTAAGCATAGATGTGCGCAGGATTTTTTCGCAGGGCATGTAGAATAGGTTTAGTATAAATAGTAGTACAATTAGAGTAACTTGGGGGCAAACATTGGCGGAGATTGGGGAATGCTGGAGAACTTAGTCCTCCAAAGTATAAACAACCCACCCAAATATTTGATTATTTTCCTAAGAACCATGTTCATGTATTTTATTAGATCTAAATAAACAATTAGTTAACCCCTCAAACATTTTATCAAATATCCGCTAGTGGGGGCATGCCTCCACTTTTTATGTAACTCCAAAATCCCCTAGCTTATTTAAGGTGACTATAGGGATTAAGATTAATGTGTTCATCTGAAGGATACATTTTTATTTACAATCCCCATTCCCTATGGGCCATGGCACGGAATATTTTTCTACCTTACGCTTATGTAGACAATTCGGTAACTCTTGACCAGAGATTTAATCACCTATATTACAACTATTTCAAGCTATTGCTAAGATTGGAGGTCATTTCCTACATTTAAATAATATTATAATAATTAAAAAATGCTATGGGAGGAATTTTAATACAATATTCATTTTTGATTTGCAGCCAGTATATTTATTTTTAACATACAAAATAATTATTATATGTTATCACAAGCTACTAATTTTTCATTGTACACTCAACATTTATAATAACATTCTTCTTTGAAATGATATCAATGTTTTAAATTCATCAATTATTTCTTCAAAACTTATTGATTTTGCGATTTCTTGCTCAATAAATATCGTAAGTAAAGCATTTAAACGGGCTTGTTCCATTATACAATTTATTCAGTACAAATGCCATTTTTGAAAAAGCCCTTTTATAGGAGCATAGTGTTACTGGAACGGTAGTAAATTCTTGTAAAAGCATATTATTAAAAGTATACATTCTGTCTATTCGATTTTCAGTCATCCAAGTCAACCACTCATGTATTGTACATATTATTATCACAGGTTAAATATAATTTATTTTCATTTCCAATTTTGTTTGTCTTTATTGTCCACAATTATAAATTCCATTCATGAATTGGTTAAATTAAAATTTACGTCCTTGTTGTACGTACTTCATTTATTATTCATCTAAGTTTTTTGGGGGCGCCAAAATTTTGTGGTCGGAAATTTGCTCACTTGTGAATTATTGAACTTTAAAATTATTTTGAAATTATTATTATTTTTATTTTTAATAATAGTATCATAAATTCAATCATAAATGTATTTATAGTAATATAGCTATCAGCGAACCAGAATATTATTAATATACTTAATATTAGTTCCCAAATTTGTTGTGATAATGTCAATAAACATAAGTTATTTATAATAATACGGCGTATTATGTTATCGCGTACGGTGGCGTGTCTACTACACAAAAATAGCATTGATTTTAGAATATCTAAAAGATTCATGAGGATCTATCACCTTATATATTTACTGTGGGTAGGCCTTTTAGAGAGACGCCAATTTATTTTTTTGCGCCGGGGCGCAAAATGTCTTAATACGGCACTGCAAGTATACCTGTTTGTGTGTACATGTCAAGTAAACCTGAATATCATATAGTTCACACACGTAACTGAAAACCTGTGAATAGTCTCAGTTAAGAAATGGCTTCAGCATGTAGACGTGACTACGATAATGCGTTAGTTCTTTCAAGTCTGCTCATAAATATTAGTCAAAAAAAAAAAGAAAAAGAAAAAGAAGCGAGAAAAGTGGTGTAAAGAATTGTTACTGAAAAAAGATAAATTTAACCACGTAAATCGTAACATAAACTACGTGGAGTATCTTAATCACCAAGAAAAAAAAAGATTATAATACCATAGTGAAGGTTTGTAAACATTGTCTGCAGATGCTCCAGATTTTAGTAATTGTTCATACATTTTTTCTCTTTCCTGACATTATTCCGCAAGCTATTAATTTTTTTTAACTGTTGCTTAATTTTTTTTTAACTTCTGGTTCTAACTCTTTTAGTTTCTTGGTTAATTTATTATAAGCAGTTGCTTTTTTAATCTTGTCGTGATACTCTTTGTTTATTATAAGCCAAAGACAAGGCTCAGTTTTAAATAATTCAATAAATTCTTCAATAATATTGGGCTTGCGTGACATTTTTTCAAAAACGGAACGACGTCAACGTGAACCGTATTGTTTGTTTGATGCGGACAACTGAGACCTGTACCACCTATTTGACCCACACACATGCAAGTATGCCTGAAGGTAGAACTTTACCACAAGTAAAAAATAAACTTTTTAATTAAGTTCAGTTCACCTGTGCAGGCAGAGATACCTGAACAGTTCTATCATACAGACTTTCCGGTTTGCCTGTACAGGTCACCTGAATGCAGTGGTATCATTTTAGTTTTTGATGGGGGGGGGGCAACAATTTTGACCGGCCCATACTACCAGGAGAAATATGGAGTTTTGCTCACACTTTTAACTTATAATTAAGGAACATATTTTATATATTTTATTATTATACAACTTAAATTTTTGCAAAATATAATTTTGTATTTTATAAACATAACCTAAACAAGGTTAATTTAATCTAATTTTATTCTAAATTAATCTAAGCTGTAAGAGAATATCTTTTATTTTTCATATTTGAAAATACATCTACTGCATCATCATCTAAACTGATTTTTGTAGCAATATCACTTTCAACAGCTATAACCAAAAAGTCACTCAGTCGATAATTTCCCATTGTCAAGCGCAGATAGATTAAGGGGAAAAAAAACGTTCATTGGAGGCAGTTGCTACAGGCAAAGTTAAAAGAATATTTATAATTTTATGAGTTTCAGTAAAAGCTTTAGGAATTTTTCAGAAAATATTAGAAATAGAAAAATAAACATGGATTCCATCATCTCGTTCTTTATTAGAATAATTATAGTTTATTAAGTTAATTAATTTAAGATTTTTTTGGTTCAGTTTAAAGTATTAAATTAACAGTTTCAAAATAATTATAATGATTAAGGAAAGAATTTTGAAATTGGACTTTTGAAATTAAAATAATCAGGACTGGAAGATAAGAAAATATTACAAGTAAAAATGATTTCATTGCTAAAATTGCTGAAACGATGGTTAAGTTTATTCAAAAATCTAATATTCTTGTAAAATGATCATATGTCTATTTATAGTTTATACCAATTGGCAATTATCAAATATTGTGATCATAAATAATTATCTAGTACGCAGAATTTTCAAAAAAATAAAAATACGCTTGATTTTTCACAAATAGCGGCTTATGGCTAAACGACAACAACCGGCCCTTTCGGATGCTTTTTAATCAGACAGGGGTAAATTCCCACCTTGCCACTCTCAAATGACGCCACTGCCTGAAAGTATACCTCTCAAGTATAAGGTTGCGTGTATGGCTGCCTTATTGGTGTGTGACTTGTATATACAAGAAATTATAACCGATTCTGTACAACGTAAATTGTTCATATTATTGACGAAAAGTATGGAATTAACGAAAATATGATACAATTACGTAGATTGTTTGATGTAATATAATATTTAATCGAATAAAACATATTATACACGTTGTAACGGTCGTTGCATAAAAAAGTTGTACATTTTCAAATGATAGGATGTACATCCGTATGAAAAAAAAAAAATTATTATTCGTCGGCAAATGCCAATTGTCTAAATGACATTTTTCAAGAAAAAACAAGTATAAAGAAAGGTAAGGAAAAAAAACGGTAAAAGCTTTCTTCCCAACACGTTTACCAATTTAAACGACTTGGCCTCAAGATAGGCGAACGGAACGATGTGCCAAAACTGATTGGCTCTTCGACCGGATCGACCTCCATCGGCTCGTACAATTGCCGTGGTCGCGTTAAGGTATTGTACTCGGATGGCGGCCGCAAATCGAACGTCAACCCTTCTGGTAACCAATAACCGGACTCCGCCCGGTCCGGTTCGTTCTCCATGAGCGCGGACTGGCACAGGACATGGTATGTACTGTTGAATGTACTAGCGTTCCAAAAATATTGGCCCATTGTCCAAATCGGTTTTGAAAGCTGAGATGAATTATTACGAATAACTTAACGTGTCAAACTCGCAATACGGTGTGACGGGATAATTCATCCGACAAAATTATATTAAATTCGAATCCCTATAGTTACCGACGTTACCGTGTCACAATGTACAAATCAACGCCATGATATTATCATGTTAACGAATGTTTTTAGATTTTAAGTCAACAACACTTTATATCCATATTCCATTAGTTCTAATAGAAAATATTATTTTTCAACAAGATGGCGTTCCAGCTCATAACGCTCACACAATTCTCGAAATTTAATTGCACTGTTTCCAAATTGATGGCTAGGAATTTACGGACCCTATGAGAACCGGGAGGTGGGTTTTGTGAGTCGAGTTGGACACTCGCCTTTCGTTCACGACTCACATCGCTACAGCATCCAGGAAGGCCACCGAGTCGGCAAAAGCGATAGGACGCTTGATGCCTAATGTTGGCGGTCCGGCTCAGGCTAAACGAGCCCTGCTCGTAACAATCAGTAAACTTCTATATGCATCGCCTACGTGGGCATTAATCAGCATCAAGACCGCTAAAAACAGAAAATCTATGGCCAGGGTACAAAGAGCCACGGCTCTCCGGACGATCGGGGCCTACCACACGGTTTCAGCCGAAGCGTCGTTTGTTCTTGCCTGCATGCTGCCAGCCGATCTACTGTCCTACAAACAAGCAAGACTGAAATCGCGGCTAGAAGAGGCCGTCGATCCGACGACAACAATCGCCAAGATAAAATCTGAGGAGAGAAACATCTCAATCAACTCATGGCAATCCACATGGGACCGGTCGCAAGACGGCAGATGGACACATCGATTCTTTCTGAATAATGCTCGGTGGCTGGCCAAACCCACTATCAGCCTCTCGTTCCACGTCATTCAAGCTCTCTCCGGACACGGCTGCTTCCGAAGCTATCTGTCGAGGATGAAGAGAGCCGAAGACAGCTACTGCGGCTACTTCATGGACCCCGACGATACAGCCGAACATACTTTGTTTTTACCTTGTATTTTTGTTTTTGTTCAAATAAACGATGGCGGCGCCGCGGAAATATTGCGAAAGCAGTTCCCGCGGCGTCTTCGGTCAAACAGAAAAAAAAAAGACGGGAGGTGGGCTAATCCGGAAAAGGAGGTACATCAAAAAACGGTTTCAAATTAACTGTTTTCGATGTATGTACGATCACGGGCACCGCGCGCTATAGGTGAACTGGTGATCTATACGGCAACGGGTTCATGATTACCAATTAAACAACAGGGAGTAACCGAATTGGTTCCCGTTTAAAAAAGGTATTTTATTAGGTATAGCCGAATTGGTTCCCGTTTGTGTACAGATGAAATAGTGACAATTTTAATTTTTATCACAATTTACCTACTCTATTAAAAATTAAAATCAAGGTGGATGTATATTCACCTTGATTAAAATTCAGTGGGCCAGTGCATAAAATTCAAAAAACAAAATTTTAAAAGTTATATGTATGGCATATAGACACAATTATTATATCGATAAGATAGAGTATATAAATATAATAGACTATAGATTACTAGAGACTAGCAAATTACTAGAAACAGGAAAGAAATAACAAATACCTGGAAAATTGTATGACTGAGTACATTAATGAGAAGATTACGAGGATTTTATATTTTTAGAAAGTTAGCATCGAATTTGCAAATCAGTAGTTTTAAATTGTTTTGTTATATTTTATTATTAGTATTTCGTACACCTATGGGATGACTAGTTGACTTCCAAATCAACAATTTAAAATTGTATATGTTACCGGCATTGTTGACATTTAGGAAATGATGACAATTCCTAGTAAATGTTGACAATTCCTAAAAGCGGAAGGCAATGTTATCATCGCCTAGTATATGTTATCATTTCCTAACGATAGTAGGCAAAGATGCCACATTTTTTATATCTGACTTATTTACTTATCTGACTTATTTAAATATTACTTTTATCAAAAATAATTATCAATTAATCTAATATCACCTTAATAAATAATCAATAAATAAACAAGTATTTTTTTAACATTTTAATTTGTGTAATTTATGCTTTTTAAAATTTTTTTATGATTTGCAACGTAGTTACTTTTTTTTATTTTCACAATGCAAACTTCCATGACATTTAGAATTACAAATTCTAGATGCCGATCTGCAAGCACACGTGTTCGTCTTGCATTTTGTCTTACATTGACATCGGGTGTATCCTTGTGCCCCTGAAATACTATTTACAGTAGCTGCCTCCCGAAGTGATAACGGTTTTTCTGCTTGACCTGCCGATTTTAAAACAGTACTTAGATCCAATACATTTGCTTTGCAAGGATTTATTTCTGATCTTGTGTACATGTGTTTTA